CGGGGCCCCGCTGCTGGAGCACTTCTGGCCTGGGCAGGCGGGGAGCCCGCTCGCGAGCGCCCGGGACCTAGGGAGCGGCTGGCGCGCCCAAGGGCGCCGCGGCCGCTGTCCAGCACTCGCGTCCAGTGCCTGAGCCGAGGCTGCCGCGGCGCTAGTAAAGTCGGGGCCCCGCTGCTGGAGCACTTCTGGCCTGGGCAGGCGGGGAGCCCGCTCGCGAGCGCCCGGGACCTAGGGAGAGGCTGGCGCGCCCAAGGGCAGCCCGGCCCCTCCGGGAGGTGGGCGTGCGCGCCGCTGCCGCGCAGGAGCCACTCCATCCCGGGCTCCCTGTGAGGGGAGAGTAGTTTCAATTGGGGGCGGGAATCGGGGAGGGGAGGAGGTCGGCTCGCCCCCAGGTCGCACCCCCACGCTGAGTTTGTAAATGAGTGAAAAGGATTTGTAGTGTCTGGTCCCAGATCTGCTGTCCGTCAAGAGTTCCCGCCTAAAATGGGAAGGCCGCCTCCCCTCCGCACAGAGTTGGACTTGCCCGGGAGGAGGCGCGGGAGGGGTCGTGTGTTGGCGGGAAATTAGAGCCTGTGATTCCCGGGTTGTGCTCACTCTGCTCCCATTGCTCGCTCTGCTCCGCGCGGCCGCCTCTCTGCTCCGCCATGCCCTGCTCAGAAGAGACCCTCGCTGTGTCCCCCAGCAAGCGCGCCCGGCCCGTGGAGGAGGGCACATCGCGCCTCCGCTTTGTCCGGCTCTCCGAACACGCCACTGCCCCGACCAAGGGGTCGGCGCGAGCCGCGGGCTATGACCTGTATAGGTGAGTGAGGGCACCGGGTGCCCGCGCCCGCGTGGGAACCTGCCTCGAACCCAGACCCGTTGGAGAAGCCCCGGCGCTCGGGGTACAGAACGTTCGGTCCTGCTCGCTTATGTTTTGGTCACGGGTTGCCACGGCGTGAATCATTGATTTATTTTTTTTCTTTTCTTTTCTTTTCTTTTCTTTTCTTTTCTTTTCTTTTCTTTTCTTTTCTTTTCTTTCCTTTCCTTTCCTTTCCTTTCCTTTCCTTTCCTTTCCTTTCTTGTCACGGGTTGCCACGGCGTGAATCATTGATTTTCTTTCTTTCTTTCTTTCTTTTTTTTTTTTTGCGTACATGCAAGGTTTCTACCTACTTACCCCCGAAACTCCCTTTTGGCTTGTAAGCTTTCCCTTTGGCATAAATTCAAGAGGGATTTAGGCAGAGGGTACAGAATGGATAGGATGCGCCCTTTCCCAGAGCTGGGCTGAATAAGGTCTACCTGGTCTACCAGGAGTGACATTGTGGTCAAAATAGAAAAGCCTCATGGGAGCCTCGGTGCTGAGAATGAACATACCTAAGACAGGTTAATGGAGGCTGCTTCTTACTTAAAGGGGTAGTTTCTTTATATATAGTATTTCAGTTCACCCAAGGACTGGGAATTTCAGAAAGTTGCTGAATACAGAACGTAGGGCTGTAGGTAACAGTACCCATTCATATGCATAGCGCTTTTTACCTGTATTAAAAGCTATCCTCTGGCTGTTTTATTGTTTTATGTAATTTTGACAGCAGTCTCCAAGGGGGTGAGAGTTTAAAATTTTTTCTAGATGAGGTTGTTTGTGAGGAAGTGAATTGATGGTTACCTAAGGGATTGAATATAATAGATTCTTTTTTTTTTTTAAAGATTTATTTACTTATTCATACAGAACTGGAGTACAGGCCAGAGATGCAGAGGGTGAGGCTTCACCAGAGACAGAGTGGGGAGCAGAACAGGCAGATCCACTGAAACACTCTGCTGAGGGGGGCAGCAGGTGTGTCAGGAGAGGTCTGCCACACCATGTGGATCTCCTCCAGGGCAGGCTGGGATCGAACTCATGCGGAAGTGGCTTAAGCTTCTTTGTGCTGTGCTTTAACCCGCTGCACCACCAGGGAGGGCCGAATATAATAGATAAGAATTCAGTGCTCTCCCCCCTCTCCACCCTCACAAACACCCTAAGCCCAGTTCTTAAAACCATTAAGGTAGGTGAAAAGTGATTATTGGGGGGAAGTGATGTTTAGTATGTGACTAAATCCCTTGATTTTATTTTAAAGGCTTTCAGGTAATTCCTAATGTGAGAAAGTATGGGGAAAGGGTTGAAAAAGGAGTGTGTAATGATAGTAATGTGAGAAAAAAAGAAAAAGACAAGTGGGATTATAACTGAAAGGGAGATAGTACAGGCCCTTATTTTCATTGGTAGAGTGACATACAAGTTTTTCGATATCCCCTCAGCATCATTGTAAATCTTAGGAGAGACTTTAAGTTAAGGTACTTTAAGCAGCCTCCTGATGATCACAGGTAACTTCCTGTAGAATGGAATAGACATCTGAATAACGGACCTCTTCTATAAATTAGACTTTAACTATATCAAGAGGAAATTCTAGTGAAAAACAGTACTGCTTTACCAGTTTTAATTAAGGTCTCCAAGGCAACTTTCAGTTCTGCTCATTGTAAAATCTGTGTTAAGTTTTTACCAAGGAAGGAACTAAAGTAATAAGAGATGCAGCGTTTGCAGAGTGGACTTAGAGAATCAGGTCCTCAGCAGTGTCCATCTCCAGACCTGTTCAGTCATCAGTGCTTCTTCAATGAAGTTCATGGTCACTGCTGGTAAACTACAAGATTAGCAGAACATACAAAACTGCTCTACCTCTCGATGCCTTATTGTGTCTGTGCCTTATTCCCTCGTCTGCTTATTCTCGCTAGTTACATGGAGGGTTGTGAGAATAAAATGATTTCTATTAAGCAGATAGAGCTGTGCCTGGCACACAGTAAGGGCCTCAGACATGTTACCTATTATTAGCTATTATTTAGTTTCTTGGTTATTTTCCTCTTTTCATGCAATATTAGTGAAGCATACACCTTTTAAAAGCATGCCTTTCTGTCCTTTCCTGCTAATATGTACCTCAATTTTTCAGTAACTGTTCACATGTTGACACCACTTTCACCAAAAAAAAATCAGAATGACTATCTCTAAAACTGTCACAGTTTTACTAATAGAATAAAAGAAAATATTTGTGCTTTCATCTTCAAACCTTTTTTCAGGTGAATTAGAAATTAGTGCCCTGAACTGAGCAAGAATGGTTACAGAAATCTGAAGTTGCATGAATTATTTTATGACTTTATGAAACATTTATAGTTGGTCAACAGGGAAAAAACATGCCAGAATTTTATGAATAAATGTCGCTGTTTTCTTTCAATGTCTTGCAGTGCCTATGATTATACTGTACCACCTATGGAGAAAGCCCTTGTGAAAACTGACATTCAGATAGCTCTCCCTTCTGGGTGCTATGGAAGAGTAGGTAAGTGGTTTAAGGCACAGGTAACTATTTGTCGAGGTCTGCCTTTATGACATGTTCCTACCTTTTTGTTTCACTTAGGATATAGATGAGGCATGGGGTATTGATGGCCTGTGTCCTAAAATAAAGAAATGCTATTTTATGACAAATGCAGCTATTTGAACATTAACATTCACCTATCAGCTGTTTTCTGTCTTCTTGCTTTTTTTCCTTGATGACTATTTGAGTGTTTAGGACGCTCACACTGGTCAGAAGTTATTGTTACCATTTCTCACTGGAAAAACAACAAAAAGTATAGGTGATTTTTAGTTGGAGTGTTCCCTTAATATTACTCTTCACTCTCCTGTAAGGACTAGGTTGCACATGAAGAGTCAGTCAGGTTTCTTTGTGAAAATAGTGATGAGTGTGGCCAGTATTTTTCACTCATGAGATAGAAACCAGCTATCAGTGGATACAGAGTGGATGGCACTTTGTATCTTGAAAATAAAACTTAAAACCCTTGTTGGCTCCAGGATATCTCAACCCACTTAACCTTTTCCTTTCTGGATATCCTCCTGTGGGGTGTGTTAGGGTGAGGCGTACTCTTCATTGTTCTAGAGGGAAACCCTCATAGTGGGAAGAGTTAGGACAAAATGGAGTGCTAGGGGTCAACATGTTCAGACTTTTTTTAAACTAGTCATTTGTCACTGCAGAGAAAGATCAAAACTTTTCGAGAATACAATTACGTTCTGCTAAATTCAGAGTAAATATCGAGAAGCAAATGGAACTTTTGACCCCTGGAGAGTGTGAGGGGAGGTCACCATCTGCTTTGTTGGCCATGAGTGTGAAAACTGTTAAGTCAATCTTTAAAGAAAAGAGAAAGATAAACTCTCTCTCCAACTCTTTTTGGCAAACATGGCACTTGTAGAGTATTTGGGGCTGGAGGGGTGGGCCAGGTAATGGAGTGAAGTAAAAATGAAGGAAGGGGCAGGACTTATTGATGGCATTTAAGTTCTTCTACAAGTAAAGATATTAATGGCAGGCCCGCTGAAGACAGCAACTGTAAGTGTAAACTTAGCTGTTACGTTTTTCACTTTAGAAATATAGAATGAAAAAGCCTAGTGGAGTTGAATTTTTAAGGCTTCATTTCTGGCCTTTGTTTAACGATAGGCCCGTTTCTTGCTCTGTTCATTCATTTCATGCAAATATGTCTTTGGCCAGATCATGAGAAGGACCTAGAGTGTAGGCTAAGCTCTACTACTGTTAGCTTTATGCTTGTCTCTGTCATCTTTGCTAGTACATTGCAACTTGCTCAGATTTCCTGTTTTAAAACAAAAGTCCTCTTCCTCAGCACTGTGCCCCTGCCAGTTACAGACATTGTTTTGTGGCCAAACTTCTTGAAAGAACGGTCTGCTCTTGTCCCCACTTGCTCGATCACCTTTAGTCCAAGCCAGCAGCCCAGCTCTGTGGCCATGTCTCCGCCACTCAATAGACTGAAGGCCTGTGGGAGGGTTTATGTTGTCAAAACTTCTAAAATACTCTTTTCTACCTTAGTCATAAGTTGTAAAAAATCTAGTCATTAGTTCAGAGCCATCTGTTAAAGCTACAATGATTGTACATAGCTGTTATAGATGAAAGTAACATCCTTAAGTTGTGCCAAATGATATCTCGCATTGCCCTTCTCTCTTAAAATAACCAGTTTCTCCTTTTTTTTCTTTTTAGCTCCACGTTCTGGCTTGGCTGCAAAACACTTCATAGATGTAGGAGGTAACATTTACATTTTTATTCTGTAAATATTTGTATTTGCTTTGTCTTTGCTCCGGAAGTGATAATCAAATGACAGATTGTATTTTTATTTTCAAGGAAGTAAGTTTTGTTTTATCTTGCCTCTTTAGATATTTCCATCTCTGAGTAAACAACTATACATTTTTAAACACTATTTGGTTATCTAATTTTTAAGTGACCATTATGCAAACACATGTTATTTAGTAGATTAACTAGATATCATATGACAGTAGGCTTTTTCCTTGGACTTAGTGACAATCTGTATTTAGTCCAAAAATGACCATTTTTAGGAGAAAGTTTGTTATTATAAGGGAAGGAAAGCTTTTTTGTTGTTGCTTAAGTAGTTATACTTTGCAAAACTATTAATTATTTTTATTTTTTATTTTTTTTAGATTTATTCACCAGAGACAGTGGGGAGCAGAACAGGCAGATCCACTGAAACACTCTGCTGAGGGGAGCAGCAGGTGTGTCAGGAGAGGTCTGCCACACCATGTGGATCTCCTCTGGGGCAGGCGGGGATCGAACTCATGTGGAAGTGGCTTTAGCTTCTCAGTGCTGTGCTTTAACCCGCTGCGCCACCAGGGAGGGCCCAAAACTATTAATTATTTAATAATCATTTAAACAAAATGTTCTAGCAAATGCAGGTGATAAAGATGTCATTCATGTTTGTCAAATTATAAAAAGTACGTAGTTCCTTAAAGGCACAAGCGAGGCCCTCCCTGGGGGCGCAGGGGGTTAGGATGCAGCACTGCAAGCTGGCCACAGCCGCTTCAGTGTGAGATCGATCCCCACCCCTGGAGGTGACGCACATGGCGGGCAGTCCTCTCCTGACCTGCTCGCTGCTCCCTTTAGCAGTGTACTTTGTCGATCTATCTGCCTCTTCTGCTCCCCATTCTGTCTCTGGTGAATCCTCTCACCGCCTCTGAACGTCTGGCCTGTACCCCAGTTCTGTAAGAATAAAATAAATAAATCTCTTAAAAAAAAAAAAAAAAGGCACAAGCGAGCACTGTGCATCCCTGCTAGAGTGTCAAGCCCAGCAAGGCCTCTGCCTTCTATTTCCCTTACAACAAGGTCTACTCGTCGCCCAAGACAGCAGCTTCCTCATTGGCCCCCTTTTCATGGAGACAGCCAGTCTCCTCGGCCAGCTGCCTTGGCTGTGGTATCTCTAGTTGTCTTTTACAGTCACGAAATCCTCAGCTGCCTGATTGAAAAGTTGGGTGCAGTAAGAAGGATGCAAAGAGATAGCGAGGCCAGTAAAACCAAAAGTAGGTTTATTTCTGCACTCTCGGGTGAGTTTCACTGACACCAGAGAGAGCTGAGGTCAGAGAAGTGGCTCTGAGGGAAAAAATAAGCCTACTTTTTGTTTTACTAGCCTTGCTATCCCTTTGCGTCCTCCTTGCTATGCTGAGCCTTTCACTAATGTGGTTCCAGAATCTGCTTCAGATCGCCTTATTACTGGGGTGCTTACCCCTTGTACCTCTAACAGGGTCCTTGCATCCTGACCCTTTCTATCCCAATTGAAAGCAAGCAAATGTTTCCCTAATAAGATACCTTTGCCCTTTGGATATTAGCATATGCTACTGATGATTGTTTGCCTCCCATGGTTTTTCCCAGAGCTGCTTTTTAACAACGAACAAAGTGACATTTAAAAGCTAGGATCCCCATATATGAATTCCATGCCCTTGTTGTTTCCACTGCAGATAAATGCTAAGGATCACCTTGCTCATCCCCTCACCAACCAAGGCCACTGTTAGCTCCCTGCTCTGTTAAGCAAGAGATGAAACGGGTGGGACTGGCTCCATTGCCCCTTCACTCTCCATGATGCCACTAGGTGGCACTGTGGGGCAACACAGGAGTGGTTCTTAGGAACTGACAAGGCCACTGAGTTCAACAAGGCAGGAATTGACAGTGTACCAGGGCTAAGGATTGCCTGAATGCGGTTATACTTGGTTTTCAGTTGTTTAAAGGGTTGGGAAAGGCACATGGGCTTCGGAGGAACTACCAGATTTGGTTTCCAGCTTAGTCATTAACCACCTAGCTATTATTTAACTTTCCTGAGCCTCAGTTTTCTCATCTATAAAATGAAAATTAGTGTTTCTGAAGGGTGGGAAGATTAAATGATAATGTATGTAAAGCATCTAACTGCTTGCCACATATTAGACTCCGTAAGTTTTAATTCCGATGTGTAGAAACTCTCCCATTCCCAACTTTGTTGGTATTTTTTGCTTTGTTTAAAACAGCCCTCTGAAAAAAATTCATATAAAAGAAATGACAAGTTAATTTGCTGGGTGGTTGATATGGTGCACTTCATAAAAATGACATTGCCGTATGCAGAGTATCTTAAAAATGTCTCTTAGGCACAAGTTTATCATAATTGGCCAGAGTTTTTATTTCAGAAGAGAAATGTTAGAAATCCCAGGCTGCACGTAAGGGTCAAAGGGAAAAGTTGAGTATACAGAATTCTGTTCAGAATTCACATCTGGTAGGTGTGGATAATTTTCACTAAGAAGGTTTCCAATAAATGACATGCCAAAGCCTTGACACAGTAAAACTTTTGCCTGAAGTCAGTTAATCACTCTGCCAGTTCCAATGCATGATTTTTCCAGTGATAATTTCAAAATACTTTCTGCTTTCTCATGAAGAGAAATATCCCTGGTGTTTATATCCTTTATGTAGAAAAATTGAATAAGCCTTGGAATTGTTTTGAGTCAAATCACTTTTGAGTAATAAATCAACTTGCAACTATTGAATTTTATTTTAACTGTCAAGCATTCTTGCTAAGAAAAAAAGTATTACTAATGGGGCTTTTTCTGTCATACATTTTCATTGACTACAGGCTGCTTCATTTCTTTCAGGCTTTTTACATTTCTATGTCCCACATGTCTTGATAGATTACTTAGCAGAATAAAACGCATGATGATTTGAGGATTCCTGCTAGACTGCAATATCATAGCAAAGGTCTTCACAAAAAGGGAGTGTTCTTATTTGGTAGACGATACCATAAAATCAAGAGAAATACTTGCAAATTGTGAGACAGTTAAATATCCAAATGTATGAGAAAAAAATCATAAAATATAGAAAACATGTAAATGTCCAACACACGGGAGAAAAGTCCAACCTTACTGGTCACCAGGAGAATGCATAGAAAAACTCCCATGTTTTCCTCATCTCGTTGGCTAGGATTAAAAGGATGGCCTCCACCTGGCACTGAACCTGGGACTTTGGGAGTGGGTATCCTTAACTATCACTGATTGCATCTGAATTGCTAGACCTTTTTTGCAGTTTTCTAGCAACAACCTATAGTATTTAAAATGTACACAAACCTTTGACTAGGAGAATGCTCTTTTAGAACCTACTTGGTGAGACTGCAAAGCACTCCTCTGCAAGGTCCGTGTGTGAAGGGCTGCTTTGTTTATTAAAGCAAAATGTCGCAGCAGCTTGTGACAGCTGACAGTATCAAAGAGAGCCGTTACATAGAAATAGTGGTACTGGTACTGTATTTCCATATCTTGAACCAAAAAAAAAAAAGTGACTGACTTCTATCATCTCTAAGAATGTCTAATAAGTCGAAAATATTTTTATAATATATTGCTGTAAGATTGCATGCTTTAGGAAGGTCAGGGGAATGTTTTTAGCTTTTATATGTGTTTGAACTGTTTGGGTGATTAAAATTTTTTCTACTAAAGTAGAAACAAGAGTCCAGAAGCCAGTCAGGCTGCATTGTCTTTAGCTAATGAGTATTGACCTGTACATCACATCTCCCAGCGTGGAGATTCCATAGCATTCTGTGGTTATTTGTTCTGGCATGGAATAACAATTATTAAAGCTATGTTCTTCCTGCAGCCAAAATTTTCTCCATATAAATAATGAAGAAGCTGGTCCCATCTTTGCATCATTTCTTTCAATAAATATTAAGGGCTAAATTAATGATCAGTTGGTATGGCAGCTTCATAGTTTTTTGAAACAGGCTTCATGGTTTTTTTTTTAATTGGTTGAAGTTTTATTGCTGTGCAACTAGAAACGAATATTTCCTTCAGTCTAGACATAGTATGAACAACCTCTGCTGCCTCTCAGCCACTTTTATATTTCCCCTTCTCACTTTCAACATTTATCTTTAATTCAAACCCTTAAAAGTATTGTGTCAGTAACCTTTTAAGAAGTACTTAAATTCAGTTTTTCTTATCCCTGGTAATTCATTCATAAAGTACAGGAATTCTTTTATACTTCCATAATCCACTGGAGAAATCAAAAATGTTGATTACTCTGTGTTTTTTCCTATGGGTGGAACTTTTTAAAAATTTGCCTTTTTGTTTTCAATACATGAGACTGTTGAAAGAGAAGGTTTAGCCTTGTTTTAAGAGGAAAGTAAACATTTTTCAATTGACCCAACCAGCATTAATTCATTAAGTTAAATTCCTGATTATTTTCATTTTCTTGAAGGGTCTTATTAGGAGGTGCATTTTTTTTTCTTTTTCTTTTCAATAGTTTGTTTTCCCATCATTTTGTGCATTTTCTCATCTCAATTGTAATCCCCTTGGGCTTCCTATCACCAAATCACCCATGTGCCATCACCAAAGTCCAGTGCATTTCCCTCGCCCCACTGTTTTTGATCCCATTCCCCACTCCACCCCATAAAATATCTCTGGTATACAACTGTTCATTATTATTAATATTATTTTCTCACCTCATCCGTTAATACTCCTGCTATGAATGAAACCATTTGGTAATTTTCCTTTTCTTTCTGGCTTATTTCACTAAGTATGATCTTTTCCAGCTCCATCCATGTTAGGAGGTGTATTTTTAAGTAAATCTAAGCTGTCACAGGGAGCTACATTTAATTTAGTTTACAAGATTCCAATTCAGCATTTTATAAATTAGGACTAAAGAATTTAGCTTGGGGAGGAGAGGGAATTAAAGCTAATAAGTATGGGGGTTCTTTTGGGGAAGGAAAATGTTCTAAAATTGAAGGTGGTGATAAGTGCACAACTGAATGCCCTAAAAATCACTGTTTCAATATTTTAAAAAAGAAATGAGACGGTCTGCTGCACCTGCATTACCTGTGCTTGTATTTATGGAAACATTTTAAATTCTTGGTCCAAAAATAAATGCTAATAAGGAGCTCTCTGGGGTAAGGCAGGGCTCTGGCTCAAGTTTCTCTCCTGCAAAGATCTTGCTGTGCTGGTGTTTATAAACTCAAACAGTTACTAATTATACATAATTTTAGGTAAAAGTGTACTTATTTCTTCTGAGAACTTTTGGTCTATTTTTGTTCTTAAAAAATGGAGTGTGCTGGTATTTGCCAAACTCCTATGAACAATATCAGCATTGATTTATTCCACAGCAGATCTTCAGACTTTTTGACATTTTTACTTATAACTCGATCATATTTCAGTCTGGATTAGTAGTGGGAACTTGCTATCAGAAAAAAACTATAACCCAAATAATAATTTTTTCCTAGTTTTTTTCTGGGTAGGTTTTCAGCAGATAGATGGTGGGTTTGCAGAGAGTAATTCAGGATAACCTGAGTGCCTGTTCCCTCTGATAAGATTCACAGGAAAGTTAGGACCATTTTCTAAAGTCTTTATATGTGCATTTTAATAACACAATTCCTTGTTTTGAGGCTTGACATAGTGCCAAAAGCAAAATGCATGTGTTCAATTGTAAGTACAAAAATCTCAGCTACATATGAATGACTTTGAGATAATCTTATACCTTTAGAGTTTGGGTAGCATAAACCATGTTAATGTTATTTTTCTCTTTTCCAGCTGGTGTCATAGATGAAGATTATAGAGGAAATGTTGGTGTTATACTGTTTAATTTTGGGAAAGAGAAGTTTGAAGGTATGTTAAGTAGACAGACTCATAAATGTGCTTCAGTCTTGAGTTATGTGTGTGTGAACAATACATACTGTGCTTACGTGGCAGGGGGATGCTGTGATCGTGAAGGTGGTTTTCTTAGAGGCGGCTTTCCCATTGCACTGTGGATATCTCAACCCCTGCAACTTCCCAAATGTGGGAAGCGTGACTGTAATTTGTGGTAGTGGGGGTTGCTTCATGCACTCCTCTGATCTTCTCAGTTCAATAAAAGTAGTTTGCGTGAATTCTTCTTCAGTAATAAAAACAAAAACAAGGGCCTCCCTTGTGGCCTAGTGATTAAGTCTTAGTGTTATCATGCTGTCACTGCTACAGTCTGTGTTTGATCCTGGCCAGGGAGCTTACGACCCACATGACACAGCAGGCCTCTCCTGTCTCTCCTGCTGCTCCCCTCAGCAGTGTGTTTCAGTACATCTGCCTGTTCTGCTCCCCACTCTCTCTGGTGAATCTTCTCCCCCTCTGCAACAACCATATACTAATTCGCTAATTTGCATTGAATAAGGTGGATATAAAGAATATATCAATAATATGTCATTACTAAACTTTTCTTTTTTTACTTCTAAGTCAAAAAAGGTGATCGAATTGCACAGCTCATTTGTGAAAGAATTTTTTATCCAGAAATAGAAGAAGTTCAAGTGAGTATCAAAAGCTGAGTGGAGAATGAATAATATAATAGCTTAAGTGAAGAAAAGAGTTTTTTGCAGATTTAATACGCCATTTTTACCAATTAAATAAATGGTGGCATATAAGTCCTATTGTAAGCAAATGTTAAAATCTTAGTTTTAGAATTTCTTGAAATGTTTTTCATAGCTATTAGGTGCCATGATTTTTGGATATTAAGTAATTTTAAAATATTGTGAAATTGTAGTATTTCCTTAGCTTTTTTTGAAAATTATCCAGTATTTTAGAGTTTTTTTATTTTCAAGATTTAAATTTCCTTTTGTAGTCTCCTTTTTACAGAGATAGTCTAGTAAGAATAAGTCTTACAGATTTGGACCTGGAGAGAACTGAGAGAGAATCTGACATTAACTATGACTTATTCCTTAATGTCTTTTAGATTTTGGAGGACACGGAAAGGGGTTCAGGAGGCTTTGGTTCCACTGGAAAGAATTAATTATACCAAGACTAGAAAAATGGGGAAATTACTTCTTTATTAAAAATAAAATTTTGCTTAAAGTGTTTTGCTGTTTACTTGAACTTCTAAAAATATTTGGTTCTGTTGTGATCATGGGAAAGGCTCATCTGTTGGGATCACATAGAAACTTACTGTGTTTTCCTATATCTGATTGCTGTATAAATGGTGACCACCTAATACCAAATTTCTTTTTAAAATTAAATATTATTAATTATAGATCCAAAAAAGTATATTGTTTTACAGTGCTATCCTTTCAGCAACTTAGCTTGTTTTTTATTGCTGTGCTCAAACTTAAGCAATACCTTTCAGTCAATGAACTTGAATCTTCCACAAATATAAAATACTGCATTAACTAAACCAAAAGATAATGAAAGGAAGTTAACAGAAGCTTTCTTTCTCCCCTTCATTGGTTCTAAAAAGTTTTTTCTTCTTTTTTAATCTTAAGATTCTTCTTGGGGGTGAGAGACTCTTCAGTTCATTATATTTTTAGGTTTTTAGGAAAAATCTTCCTTTTGGTAGACCCTGATTTGACTCCTGCTTAGACTAAGTGGAAGGAATTTCCAGTTGGTTTGTTCTTCTGAATTCCATCCGATCAAGTAAATGTACTAAGTCGGTTTACATGATTTCTCTTGCCAAAGTAGCAATAATAGTCTGTATCCAAGAAAATATTCAATTTAATAGGAGTGAAATTAAATAATGATGAAATATGCTTGGGCCACTGGGTTTTTCCATCACAAGTATTTTTGAATAAATGTGTTTACAATAGGAGACTGATTATGTGGGTTAGCTTGATTCATGTCTGTTGTGCCTTCTTTTAGGGTTGCTTTTCTTCTGTATTTTTCCAATCTATTTGCACCAACTGGGGGTCTGGAGACATTGTCAGTCAGCATGCGTGTGAGATTAGGGGTATCAGGGGCTAGGTCACACAGGTGGGAGCTCTGGATCTGCCGATTTCTTGGAAGCATGAGCCAGAGTTTTCTATCCTTCAGTGGTTCTCCAGACCATTTCATAGGAATGCCTTTTCCAGCTGTGGATCACAATTTATTATTGAGACATGAAATCAGCTGAGAGGGTCATAAAAAATTTGAGTAGAAAAATGGCAGAGGACAACACATGTCAGAATGGTAAATATTGTGAAGATTGTTTGGGTTCCATATTTATGCATGCATCTGTACTGAGTCATGGTATAAATTATGTCTGCAGTCAATAAAATTCAAATTCTTTTGTGCTAAACTAGCCAGAATGGATTCTGTTGTCTGAATTCTCACCAATACATAGTAATAGTTGAGTAGGAACAGATTACGGAGTTTGCCTACCAGGAGCTATGGTCTTAGCCTGTGAGTTTAGTTAGATCACTTCCCTAGACGTCAACGCATTGTGCACTTTTACAAACACTCTTCCTCAGAACATACTTGAGAGAGGAGATAAAAACTCTTAATGGATGGCTAGAACAGGTTCAGAGATGTTTAGTAACTTATTTCATACAATGAAGAAGATTTAAATATTAAAACTCAGGTCTTTGTCTTCAAAACCCATTTTGATAGTATCTTGTCTTTCAAAGGGTGGAAAATACAGAATGGAAGAGATAGTGAACATTCTCTAGTTATCTGGACTGTGTTTCTACCTGGGCACCACAATATTCTCGGATAGGAAGCTATTCTGACAGTTACACACTTGGAAACTTACCTATGGGGTAGATGAAAGACCTGAGAGTATTTGTATGGAGAAGAAATGTGTGTATTGTGAGTATGAAGATTGTGCAGGAAGTGGATCCCTAGGATATGAGATGTTCTTAAAGATTTTAAACATCAGAAAAGAAACTAGGCTTATATGTGATTTGAGGGACTGGGACTAAGGTCAGTGGGCTTAGACTACAGGGGATTGTGGCATAAGGATAGACTCAGTGGAGCTTCCCTACACTAGCAAATTTAATGGGAAAAAAGCAAAGACTGCAGTTTGGTAGGGTGGTTGGATTTTCTGCTTTTGCAAAGTTGAATATTTTGTGGTGTTTTTCCTTGCTTTATCGTTAAGTGCATTTGGAAACTTACATAAAGCAAGTGTACAATATTGTAAGGCTTAAATGGGAACAACTAACCAGTAATCCGGACTGAAAGAACTGGGGTATAGGCTAGAGGTGGGAGGTGAGAGGATCCCCCTGAGCCAGATTGGGAATGAATGGAACAGGTAGATTTACTGAAATACACTGCTGAGGGGAGGTAGTGCATGAGGAGAACAGGTCTGCTGCGCCATATGTGGGTCAGCTCCTGGGCCACAGTGACGGTGATGTCCCTGAGACTTAACTCCTAGGCCACGGGAGAGGCTCCCCACAGATCATTTTAGTTTTGCTTTATTCCAGTCAACTAGTTGCAGGTAGTTGCAATACCAAACTTGCAAGTTTTTCCTCTCCATGGAAAAGGAATCTAGAACTCTACTTGTGCACCATGAGAAGCCCCATTTTCACATACGAGGCTGTACCTTACAGTTTTCAGATTAAGTACGAGCTAAACAGTGAAAACTACCATCTGATCAGTGACTTGCCAGGCAATTCTGTTCATGCTGACAATCTCGCCTTAGTAGAGATGCCCATTGCCCATGCCCCTCCTTGGTGCTCTGTACACCAGAGACAATCCGGGAAGACTGGGCACTACTATGCCATCAGTTTGCCAGGGTAACTGCAGAGGAAGTTCCATACTAGTCCTCAAACAGTTGGGAGGAGGGCAGTGTCAAGGCCCAAGTTTGAGTTCCAGACCACCTCCCCTCCTGCCACTGACCATCTCTGTCCAACATGGCAGGAGATACCAAAGGATCATTTCCTCAGATTCAATGCCCATGTTACCAGTGGACGAACTGTAGACAGCTAGAGGACTAACATGTATGCTTCTGGGGTTCTGTGAAGCACAGTTTGGGGTTAATGGAGCTCAGACATGCAAACTGTCAGATGGCCCGTTCTCAGCAGGGCTCCTGAACCAGTCCTGTCCACTACTCCCCCTTACTCCTAGTGTTCATTTGCTCTTCTTTTCCTTTGCTTCACGTCCAGCCTTGGTCCCTGTTTGCACTTAATCTCTGCCCCGAACTACCCCTATTGTGCACCTCTCCTGGCTACATACCATTAAGGTAAGGTGTAGATTCAGGGTCCCAGCCACCGATCACAGCATAGAAACCAGACAGACCAAAGCCAGATACTATTACAGATTCAGAGTATCCTTCGATGTAGGGAGAGCTTTATGTGCAAACCTCAAGCTAAGAAGCACGTAATCATTCCGATAGAATAGTGGGAACTTTCAGTAGTCACTTAAGGGCCATTTTCTGTTTATTAGCCCAAAGCATGCTGTTCTGTGTAACTTGGCTGATCTTTTAGCAAGCATAGCCTCTAGTATGGTGTCATCCTATGAAGAGGTAAAGTGGGGAAGATCTCAAAAATGGAAATAAAATGCCTTTTGCTGAAAAGACGGCTCTGTTTGGATATGGAATATTCATACAGTGTTTTGACATTGCTCTTTTACTTACTGAAAACAATGAGGGAAAAGTATAAACAAGTTTTCACTGAGGTAATCTTAAGATACATGTAAAGAAAAAATATATTAAAAATGAATTCCCCATATTGGCAACCAACATGGCTCAGTTGGGGGAATTTTAAAGGATCCAGGAGGTTTCTTGAACATTTTAATAGCTGAGAGTGACATTATAGAGAAAATTTAATAGGAAATTATGTCCTTGTTTTAGCCTACTTTTAAAGTGGATCTTGCAAATGAGAAAGAAACATTTGGGAGAATATATACTAAAACAATGATTATCGGCCCTCCCTGGTGGCGCAGCGGGTTAAAGCACAGCACTGAGAAGCAAATGCCACTTCTGCATAAGTTCGATTCCCGCCTGCCCCGGAGGTGACCACATGGCGTGGCAGACCTCTCCTGACCCGCCCGCTGCTCCCCTCAGCAGTGTACTTCGTCGATCTGCCTGTTCTGCTCCCCACTCTGTCTCTGGTGAAGCCTCTCGCCACCTCTGAGCCTCTGGCCTGTACCCCAGTTCTGTATGAACAAATAAATAAATCTTTAAAAAAAAAAACAAAAAACAAAAAACAAAAAAACAATGATTATCTCTGGTTGTTGGACTTGCTGGTAGTTTTTTTTTTTCTTTTTGTATTATCTTTCAAAACTTTCTAACTGAAAACTACATAATTTGGTTTTAAGAAGTTTTACTCTTATCCTAAAATATTTTTAATTTGATACATTTACTATTTTAATGAAGTAATGAAAGCATATGTAAAGTTGTGATTCAAAATTACAAGCTTTAAAAAAAAATATCCAAGTTGTTCCAATGGAAAAGCACTTACTTTGAAAGTTTTAGGCCTGAGTTTTAGTTTTGCTATTTACTGCCCAGAAAATCTTGAATAAATAAAATAATCGTATAAGCATCTCCACTTTTTTATGAAATAAGGAGTGTGTCTCAGATCATTCCCCAGCCGCTTTCCCCTCTGCTGTTCGGTGAGTTTCAAAACCAAACTTCATGGCTATGGCAAACTACTGCCACCTGGTGGCACCTCTCGAAAGTGAAGCACTGTATTGAAGGGCCAAACCCTTCTTGATGTGTACTGTAACAAAAAATTTGCCACAACAAAACCTGTCTTTGACAGAAAGTTTATTTCATGGCACTTTGGCTGGGTAGAAGTTGCTTTTGGTGCTTATGTCTAACCTCTGTGAGGGTCCTTCCCTTTACCTCTTCTCAGGAGAAAGCAGAAAGCCCCTTTGTTTTTCTATTAAACACCCTCATTGAATTTTCATTTCCTCCCCTTCCCTTGTCCCAGTTACGCTGCTTAATGCGCAGCTGTGCTGGGTCTTCTCCAAATATACAGGAAATACATATTTACTATGAAATTTCTCTATGACTTTTTCTCTTATCTATTTAATGCTTGTTGGATTATTTGCCAGCCCAGAAGGGTATAAGATGATTATCTTTGAACCCAGTAATATTTTTGCCTAGCACCTATATGCTGAGCAAGTGTCAGCAGGGCCATGCATTCAGTTTAGTGTGTTTCTAGGTGACACAGTTGAAACAACTGTGGTAATGAGCCTTCACATTCTACCTCTTGACCTTGAGGACATCTTTTAATCACTTTTGAATGTCTTCCCATATCAAAAATAAAAATACCCACTTTATATTATTGGAAAATCTAGAAGTGATGAATGTAAAATATCTCAAAACATGTAGGGCAAAGAATACTTGGTCTATAAATGGCAGTAATTATCTTCAGGAAGTATATCATCTAGTTTGAAGAGTAAGATACATAAAACTCTGGGGCCCTCCCTGGTGATGTAACGGGTTAAAGCTCAGGACTATGAGCTAGCCAGCCACAGCCCCTTCAGCACGAATTTGATCCCCAGCAGGGAGCCCATGGCATAGCAGACCTCTCCTGTCTTGCCTGCTGCTCCCCTCAGCAGTGTATTTCAGTCAACCTGTTTTGCTCCCTACTCTGTCTCTGGTGAATCCTCTTATACCGTGCACCTTTGGCCCATACCCCAGTTCTGTATGCATAAATAAATAAGTCTTTTTTAAAAAAGAGAAAACTGCAGATGAGAAGCCTGGTGGTGGTGGTGGTGGGGGGGGGGGGTTACTCCAGACACATTCAGAAAATTGCAAAACCAAACTTCAAAATAGACTGGAATATAAAGGTCACGTAGGGAGCTGCTGATAACTATTCTGGAATAGTAGGTTCCACTCCGGAGAGTCCTCAATACGAGAGAAGCAATGGTCAGTCAGAAGAGTTTAGGGCAAAGAATCAAAGTCACATAAATCCTGAAGACTGACATGAACCTAATGTCTGACAGGGGATGAAGAGGGCATTATCTAAACATCCAGGAAATGAGCACAGAAGACAGCAAAGGAAAGATGGGTGAAAATGACACAAGAAGCTGCAAAAACGAAGTGCATCTTTCTAAAATGACCCAGCACAATGACATTACAAATGAGGTTATTTGTAATTCCTGACAAAGGGAGGCTAAGATGAATTCGTGCCATGAACACCACTGAGCCACAGCAGGCCTGGATTCCAGGGCTCCTGAATGAGGGTCTGGCACGCCTCACCTCCCCCCATTGCTACAGAAACAGTTCCCTTAAAGGGGGTGGCACCTGTTCCCTGCCCCACCCAATGACCTGAGGGCCAGCTGAAGCTGTATTGAATGGGGAAGGCAGGTGGGCTCTGGGGGAAGAAAAGAGGAGGGGAGAG